AGAATTGCTGGATCTTATGGTAGTTACATTTTTAATTTTATAAGAAACCTCCATATTAGCTTCCATAGTGGCTGCACCAATTTACATTCCCACCAAAAGTACACAAGGGTTCCCTTTTCTCAACATCCTAACGCTTGTTATTGTCTTTGTGTTAACAGCCATATCTAAGAGGTGATATCTCATTGTGGTTTGATTTGCATTTCCCTGATGATTAGTGATGTTGAGCACCTTTTCATGTACCTACTGGCCTTCTATATGTCTTTGGAAAAAAGGCTGTTCAGATCCTCTGCTCATTTTTTAATTGGATTGTTTTTTTGCTATTGAGTTGTATGAGTTCTTTATATATTTTGGATATTAACCCTTATCAGATATATGACTTGCAAATATCTTCTCTCATTCAGTAGATTGCCTTTTCATTTTGCTGATGATTTCCTTTGCTGTGCAGAAGTTTTTTAGTTTGATTTAGTCCCACTTGTTGATTTCTGCTTTTGTTGCCTTTGCTTTTGGAGTCAGACCCAAAAAACCATCACTAAGATCGATGTCGGGGAGCTCACTACCTATGTTTCCTTCTAGGAGTTTCACGGTTTCAGATCTTCCATTCAAGTCTTTAACCCATTTTGAGTTAATTTTTGTGTACAGTGTAAGATATGAGTCTAGTTTCATTGTTTTGCACGTGGCTGTCCAGTTTTCCCAACACCATTTATTGAAGAGACTGTCATTTCCACATTGTATATTCTTGGCTCCTCTGTCATAAATTAATTGATCATATTTATTTATGTATTATTATCATATTTATTTCTGGGCTCTCTATTCTGATCCATTGATCTGTGTTTCTGTTTTTATGCCAAGACCATACTGTTTTGATTACTATAGCTTTGTAATACATCTAGCAATTTACTGACAGAAATTATTTTCCACTTTTTACCACTTACCCGAAGTTCTCTATATGTAAATCCTTTAATCATCCCTCATATTAATCCTTCAATTCACTTTCTCATTTACTTGCTTGTAAGCACAAAATGAGACAATGCTACATACAGGGACATACAAAGAGTTACAATATAGAGACATACAAAGAGTTACACTATATTCCTTTTTGAGTCTCATATTTTCCTGCTTTACCTCTTCTCTAAGTCTAGAAACTATCCCAGTGGTAGCAGACACTGTTAATTACCTAGCAATATCCATTCCCACTTCTTCCTTGCTATGAGAACTCCAATTTTATTCAGGCAGCAATGTTAACCAGCCCCAGGCAACTCATCGTGCTTGTTACAACTTTTTCCCTCACTTTACCATCCTCCCTTGCATACAGGGGTGGCTCAGTGAGAAATGTGCAGGACGATTCCAGAGGATGAAAAGAAAATCGGCAGAGAGAAGGAGGTAGCTAGTCTGAAAAAATTATACTTTCCTGATAAAAGATACAGCTGGCCCTTTCCCTTCCCATTGCCTTGAGCACAGAACGGATACAATGCCTAAATACACAGCCCTAGGTCTCCCTGTCATCAGTGATCAGCAGAACCACTGCCAGCAACCACCTATTCAAGTCTTCTTGTTACGTGAAAAAAACGAACCTCTTTTTGTTTAAGCCACTGTTCTTTGGGTATTCCGTTACTTGCAGCAGAACGCTTTCCTAACTGATTGACCAACCTTCCCCAATAAATCCAAATAGAAGTCAAGCAGTCCTGTAACAGCACAAATGAAATGTGACCAGGCAGTACAGAGCCAGCTCCATTCTCTGACCCACCATGACAAACTCCAGAAGGCAGCATAAGAATGCCAAGTCTGCAAAACAGCACTGGTACTTTTTATTCCACCTGACTCTATTATCAGACCTCAAAATGCATTCCATATAGCAGCCAGATGACCACACTTTTCCAGCCTTGTGGAGAATAGACTAGAAAAGTAAAAACAATGTAAGTTTCAACCCCTATCCTCAAATGACCTTCATAAGAGCTCCTTGTGAATTATGCGACATAATTCCAACAAAGGGATGAAAATTTTACCTTTTCATTTTCCAACCTGCCTCTAACGCAAGTACTAATATGCACATAGGCAGGAAAAGATAATAAAGGAAAATAAGTAAATATGGAGGATGCAAAAAGTAGATAATTAAGGCTATATGCCAAGACAAAGAAAAGCAAACAAAAATCTCCACAAACTAATTTGGACTAGTTACCTGCTATTGTGTTTATACTGGATTTCACCCAATTCACTGATAGGATTTTTAACCTACTCTGAGCTGTAATATTGATAACAATGGAGTCATGCAACGGTTTATTCCTTAAGAAGACATCCTACACTGAGTTTTGCATGTGGTGCAAGAAAGCAGGAATCTAATTACAGTGAACCGAACTGCTATTATCAGAATAAACTTATCCTTCAATTCTTTAAGCAAATTTCCCATGACCTTTGTAAGAGCTATGTATACATTAGCCAGTTATTACCTAATTGGCTATTTAATACTTACTTGGTTTGTTGGTTGAAGGCCAGTCACTGGCATTTTAAAGACTATCTTTCACTTGGACAACCTGAGTGAACCAATGTCTTCACCAGCTTTAGTATCAAATACATTTCAGTGTTCAGATTTCCAGTCATCTCATTTATGTTTCGGTTTTTGTCTTTTTTTTTTTTTTTTTACCATTTATTTGTTTAAGATCCAAATAAGTTCATCACATTGCAACTGATCAAACATTTTTTTTTTCAGCTTAATTGAGATATAATTGACATACAGCATTGTGCAAGTTTCAGATGTACAATGTGAGGAGAGCAATACATCTTTTAAGTCTCTTTAAATCCAAAGGTTCCTCTTCCAACTCTGTTTTTCAATCATATAATTTATTTGTTAAAGAAACCAGGTTGTTTTTTCTGTCATTTCCCAGCTTGGATTTTCTGATTGCATCCCTCTGGTGTAGTTTAACACGTTCCTCTCTTCTCTGTATATGTTGTAAACCGAAGGCTTGATCTCATTCAGGCTTGATTACTCTTCCATCAGGAAGTGCCACAATGACCGGCTGTCTTCTTGTGATGTTAACAACCTTTATGTTTATGAACTGTTTTTACTCACATTTCTGACACCAAATGTGTGGGTTTTCCACACCAAGCAATTCTCCAATTCTCTGTGGACACCAACTGGGTATCCTACAACTTAATTCAATTCTAACACTACCAGGAGTTACCTCAGACCCCACAGGTTAAAGGCTCAGTCCCACAAGACTGCCCCCACTTCAGTCACCAATGGCAAGTCCCAGGCCTCTGATACTTCTGACCAACCAGCTATAAATTGAGAGTTCCCATGGCCCCCTCCTCAGACTCAATAATTTTCTAGAATGGCTCACAGAACTCAGGAATGCACTTTACTGACTAGTACCAGTTTTTTATACAGGATACAACTCAGGATCAGCCAAATGAAAGAGATGCACAGGGTATAGTATTGAGGGGTAAAGGAGAACACAGAGACCCCATGACCTCTCTGGGTGCACCACCTTCCAGCACTTCTTTGTGTTCACCAACCTGGAAGCTTTCCAAATCCTATCATCTAGAGATTTCTGTGGAGATTCCATTACATAAGCATGACTGATTAAATCATGGGCCATTGGTGATTACCTGGTTTCCTGCCCCTCTCCCTTCTTCAGAGGTTGGGGAAATGGGGGCCCTAAAAGTTCCATAACTATAATCACATGATTGGTTCTTCTGGCAACCAGCCCATATCTGAAGCTATCTAGGGTCCCACCAAGAGTCATGTCGTTAGCATAAACTCAAGTATGATTGAAAGGGAATAATTATGAATAACAAATGATGCTCCTCTCACCTCTATCACTTAGGAAATTCCAAAAGTTTATGAAGCCATTTTGCCAAGAACCAGGATGAAGACAAAATATATATTTATTATATCACAATATTCAAATCCTAGATCCATTAAATGGTTAAGGTTTGTAACTTGGTGATATTCTATCATTCCTTCTTCATTTATTACTGGAGTATGTCTATAAAAAGATCTATTTGTTACTCATAACAGTTTATATAGAAAAGGAGAACAGACACTTGATTTCCATTTTTTCACTCATTTTCAAAATGAGTTCCTTCTCCAGAATTCTTGAATAGTGATCAATTAGGTGCTTTTCATTTCTTAATAGTATAGACTCATGGATTTAAACATATTTCATGTGTTTTAATCCACCACCATTGCTATTCTTACTGGTGCTCAACCTGTTTCATCTTTGGCCAGTGAGAGCTCTTCAGGTTGACTCGTGAGTCCTTCTGACAGTCCCCTACATAGTCTTTGATAGCTTCCTTGCTATCTGATATGATGTTTCAGACCATCCTAAAAATTTCCTGCTCCAGAGCTAGGATCAGCCATTTCCCCTAGGAACCTCGTTCCTTTTAGTAGGAAATGGTATCTGGATTTCACAATCTGAGAGTAACACCTGTCAATTCACTCATTTATCAAACATTTTCTGAGCATGTAATGTGTGTCAGTCACTGGATTTGGCTTTGAAGAAACAAAAATAGAACACAAACTCAAAGAGGTGACAAACCAGTGGCATATCATTTCCTACATTTAACATCATACTATTTCAAAGATCAAAGCAAAATACTTCTCAATCAAAAATTGTTTTGAAATTTGCAGTTTTTCCATTCACTAATATTTTACTTCCAACTAGAAATTACTTATAAAGCAGCTTATCTTTTGTGTTTCTTATTAATTTTGCAACTTCCCCATTTCCTACTTAGATTCCTTTCTCTGTTTCTTGAATTTCTTTCTTCCTGAATCTCTGCAAAACACAGCTTATCTAGGAACCCCACTTAAGCCAATAAGAAAGAGATAGAAACAACAAAAAGAAACTGCTTCCTATGTCAACTTTAAAAGGATAATTCCTTTAAAACAGTATCTAGCATTCTGTGTTCTCAAAAAAAAGGCAAATGTCAACCTATTTGTAAATATTACATGCTGTAAGTTACAAAAATAAAGCAATATAATAGAAAATAAGGAAATCTCCTACCGTTCAGCACTAAATGCTGCCTCTGTGTCAATGTACACAACAGCTCCTTCCAATCCTCCCATGTCAATGGGTAATGTAGCCAAAATGCTCATCATTATACAAAACTGAGTTTTTCCACAACCTGGTGGACCTGTAATCTAAAAAGAAAAAAGATGCTTGTATAAACATCACAAGCTATTCAAAGCAAAATCCTTTTAAGAACTTGCCACATACACAGTCCAACTAACCCAAGTTCCTGGAGAGAACATTCTAACACATCCATTGTATATAATGAATTAACTTCTCCCCTATGCATCTGGATTGGTACTGGTTATGTACCATCCTTGAGAGAAATGAAAAAAATAGTCACTCAAATCATCCTCTGTGTTCTGTAGTTCACATGAAAAACTTTGGCTGAGAAAAGCTGGAGGATTCATTTATACATTCACAACTTGGGAGTTCTATACCTTTTCCTCATAAGACACTTATAAAAGGATCTTGAAAATATTTAGGATTTATTAATTGGTTTAGCATTTGTTATGAATTGGCCTTTCAGAATAATTTTGTAACAGTCCCATTAAAAGCTACTTTGATCTTTAGAGTAAAGTATTTAGGAATGAAGGGTACTGACGTATACAAGTTACTTTTAAATGGTTCTGTGAAAAAAGTGTGTTGTGTTTGTGTAGAAAGAGAGAAATGCAAAAGTAACAAAATTCAACAATTGTTGAGTGTAGGTGATTCATCCATTGAAATGAATGCTGTGAAATTTTAGTTGTAGGAAAGCTATTTTGAGATTATAAAAGTTGAATTCAAGAGGATGTAGACAGAAAAGAATACAAAATTAATCACATACATATTCAAGTCCAGCTGGAAGTAGTTACCAAAAATTCATTTGAAAATGTTAAAAATATCACGCTTAAGTATACGCTATTTGTCACATTGGCTGTGGTATCCAAATTTTAGGAACCCAGACACTATCCCTTTTGTGAAAATAACACTAATGAACAATTTTTCACGATAGGAAGAAAGGAAAAGAAGAGGAGGGAGGGAAGAGAGAAGAAAATCTCCAGTGGAGATGAAAAAAGTCTGAGCTAAGACTGAGATATACTATAGTTGGAGAGAAATGGTCTCAGATACATCATGACTAGGAAGACATAAGGAGGGATCATCCATGAGCCTAAAACATGTAGGCCAGTGCTTCTCAAACTTGAGTGAACATTAGAATCCCCTGGCAAGCCTGTTACCCAGCATTTTCAGTTCAGTAGGTCTGGGATGGGGCCTGGGAATTTAAATTTCTAATAAGCTCCCAAGTGATGCTGATGCTGCTCTATTCTTTGAGAACCACTGCTTTAGCACACAGGCAAAGGTAAACTTCATTCACCAAGGCTCAACATTAAAAAACAAAGGCTCAGAGGAGAAGATCCAAGATGGCGCTGTGAGTAGTCGTCTTTGTCTCTCCCCCTTCGAGTCTACAATTATTTGGACACTCATCGCTTAACAAAGGATATCCAGATAGCATCTCAGGACGTCTGAGAGACCCACGCGACTATACATTGGAAGGCGGACAGACTTCCCTCCGGGAGGAGGTGGAGATAGGTGAAAACTCTCCAACCCTGACCGAACAGCCTAGTACCTGCAAGCGGCTTTCTTCCAACGGACGCCCCCAGAAGATCAACACACACCTAGGGCAGGAGCGAGCACACACCAGAGGAGCGATGGTGGAAACAGGTGACCAGAACCCTACCTAAACCCCCCGCAATTACTCCTAAACGCAGAGGGAAACTCTAGAGTTACACACTTGAGCCTGTGGGGAGAGTCTCGCTCCGCCATTGGCGGGGAGATACCGCCTGGTGTCCATGGCGCCCGGATGGTCCCAGAGAAAATCACAGAGGGCGTGGCGGCCCCCTGGCTGCCACTGCCGGCACGGCTGGGCAAGGGATTGCAAGAGATCTTGGAGAGGACTGGGGCTGGGTGAAGCTCCAGAGGCTGCAACAGTAGGCACCAGCAGCCTGAAGCCCCCCCGTGATGGCCCCCACGGCAGAAGAGGGAATCCAAAGGACCACTGTGACTACGAGGAGGGGCCCAGGCCCAGTTAGCAACTGCGGATAGGGTTCCCGGTTGGTGCAGTATAAACAGCTGCTCCCCCACCACACCAGCAGAAACAAGTGGAAGGAGAAACTAATCTCTATCTCTATGCAGAGGCACAAATCTACAACATCAAGCAATATGAAAAAATACATTAAATCTCCAGAACAGAAGGAAAACAACAAATACACAGACAACAATCCCAAAGAAAATGAAATATATAACCTAAATGACGATGACTTCAAAACAGCCATCATTAAAATACTCAATGAGTTAAGAGAGAATTGAGATAGACAACTCAACGAGTTCAGGAGCTATGTCACAAAAGAGTTTGATACTATAAAGAAGAACCAAACAGAAATACTGGAAATGAAGAACACAATAGAGGAGATTAAGAAAAATCTAGATGCACTGAACAGTAGGGCCGATAATATGGAGGAAAGAATTAGCAATTTGGACGATGGGAATATAGAAATGCTGCAGGCAGAGGAGGAGAGAGAAGTAAGACTAAAAAGAAATGAAGAAACTCTCCGAGAATTATCAGACACAATTAGGAGATGCAACGTAAGGATTATAGGTATACCAGAGGGAGAAGAGAAGGAGAAAGGGGCAGAAAGCCTATTCAAAGAAATAATGGCTGAGAACTTCCCAAATCTGGTGAGAGAGATGGATCTTCAGGTGACAGAAGCCAATAGATCTCCAAACTTTATCAATGCAAGAAGACCAACCCCACGGCATATAGTAGTGAAGCTAGCAAAAGTCAACGACAAGGAGAAAATACTAAGGATAGCCAGGCAAAAGAAACTAACCTACAAAGGAACCCCCACCAGGCTATCAGCAGATTTCTCAGCAGAAACTTTACAGGCTAGAAGAGAGTGGAATGATATATTCAAAAATCTGAAGGACAAAAACCTACAGCAGAGAATTCTCTACCCAGCGAAAATATCCTTCAAATACGATGGAGAAATAAAAACTTTCCCAGATAAACAAAAATTAAGGGAGTTCATTGCCACAAAACCTCCTCTTCAGGAAATCCTCAGGAAAACCCTCATTCCTGAAAAATCAAAAAAAGGCAAGGGGCTACAAAACCAAGAGCAGAGGAGATAAGTAGAAGGACAACAACAGAGAGTAGCAGCTCTTCATCAGAACAGATTAAACCATGGGACGAGAAACAAAGGAAATTGAAGAAAACCGGAAAACAAGACATAAAATGGTAGTGGTAGGCCCTCACATCTCAATAATCACTCTAAATGTAAATGGATTGAACTCCCCAATCAAAAGACACAGAGTGGCAGGATAGATCAAAGAACAAGACCCAACAATATGCTGCCTCCAGGAAACACACCTCAGCCCCAAAGACAAACACAGACTCAGAGTGAAGGGATGGAGAACAATACTCCAAGCTAATAATGAACAAAAGAAAGCAGGTGTCACTATACTAATATCAGACAAGGTAGACTTCAAAGCAAAACAGATAAAGAAAGACAAAGAGGGACAATACATAATGATAAAAGGGACTCTCCACCAAGAAGACATAACACTTATAAATATATACGCACCCAACACAGGAGCACCAAAATTTGTAAAGCAACTCTTAATAGAACTAAAAGAAGACATCAACAACAATACAATAATAGTAGGGGACCTCAACACACCATTAACACCAATGGACAGAACATCCAGACAGAAAAGCAACAAGGAAATAATAGAATTAAATGAAAAATTAGACCAGATGGACTTAATAGATATATATAGAACACTTGATCCAAAAACAGCAGGTTACACATTCTTCTCAAGTGCACATGGAACATTCTCAAGGATGGACCATATTTTGGGAAACAAAGCAAACATCAATAAATACAAGAGAGTTGAAATAATATCAAGCATCTTTTCTGATCATAATGCTATGAAACTAGAAATCAACTACAAGAAAAAAGCAGAGAAAGGTGCAAAGATGTGGAGACTAAACAACACGCTTCTGAACAAACAATGGATTATTGAAGAAATTAAAGAAGAAATCAAATATTATCTGGAGACAAATGAAAATGAGAACACCACATACCAAATCATTTGGGATGCAGCAAAAGCAGTCCTAAGAGGGAAATTCATCGCAATACAGGCTCACCTCACTAAACAAGAAAAAGCTCACATAAGCAACCTCAAACGACACCTAACAGAACTAGAAAAAGAAGAACAAACAAAGCCCAGAGTCAGAAGAAGGAGGGAAATAATAAAAATAAGAGCAGAAATAAACGATATTGAAACAAAAAAGACAGTAGAAAGGATCAATGAAACAAAGAGTTGGTTCTTCGAAAAAATTAACAAAATCGACAAACCTTTAGCTACACTCACCAAGAAAAGAAGAGAAAAATCTCAAATAAATAAAATTAGGAATGAGAGAGGAGAAATCACAACAGATATCAATGAAATACAAGAGATCATAAGAGAATACTATGAAAAACTATATGCCAACAAATTGAACAACCTGGAAGAAATAGACAACTTCCTAGACTCTTACAACCTCCCCAAACTGAATCAGGAAGAAATGGAGAATCTGAATAGGCCAATCACAAGTAAGGAAATAGAAACAGTAATCAAAAACCTCCTCAAAAATAAGAGTCCAGGACCAGACGGCTTCTCTGGAGAATTCTACCAAACATTCAAAGAAGACTTAATACCTATTCTTCTCAAACTATTCCAGAAAATTGAGGAAGATGGAGTACTCCCTAACACATTCTATGAAGCCAACATCACTCTGATCCCCAAACCTGACAAGGACAACACAAAGAAGGAGAACTACAGGCCGATATCACTGATGAACATAGATGCAAAAGTCCTCAACAAAATTCTGGGAAACCGAATACAGCAATACATCAAAAAGATTATACAGCATGATCAAGTGGGAACTATACCAGGGACACAGGGATGGTTCAACATCCGCAAGTCAATCAACGTGATACACTACATCAACAAAATGAAAAACAAAAACCACATGATCATCTCAATAGATGCAGAGAAAGCATTCGATAAGATCCAACACCCATTTATGATAAAAACCCTCAATAAAATGGGT